TTTTTTTGACCAAGATATTTCCAGAAAGAACTACTAAGTGATGAAATCATTGAAGTTAGATATAAAAAGTGTGGAAATGCAAACATTATTCAAAATATATTTTCGCAGATTTCCTCTCAAAATTTTCTTTCATATGAACCTACCCACTACAATTACTGGCAATTGAAAGAACTTTTGAGTCAAATCGGTCCATCCGTTCTAAATTGATAAGTTACTATAAATTGTTTATATATATGTGCAACAACTACAATAGATTACAAATAAAAGAAAATTTTTCATGGTGGCAAAAACACAACGAATAATGGGAAGAAATCTGCGATTGAGTTAATTCACAGTTTATTATTTCACTACATAATTGTGTGCCTTTTTATTTAATTTCGATATTTTATCTCCCCAAATTCTTAAAGTGGCCAGTTATGTTATGATCTGCTCCTACTTCTTTATTTCTTCCTTCAAATCATGCACACGACAATTTTGAAAAAATATATTTTTTGTAGCTTTATTTTTGCTTTTTTTCATACCTCTTATTTAAGTTTTTCCCTGTTAAGCGGCTCATCAGGCAAATTATCTTTTTCCATAATTTTTAAAATTTTTTTCTTGAGACAAAATGCATCAAACTCGACATAAACATTCATAAACATTGAAAAAATTCACAGGAAAATTTTGTTATTTTTGACATATTAATGTTCGACAACAGTTTTTTTTGTTGTATTAATTCACTTATGCGGCTACTTATGGTGTTTTTACACGATATGTATTTTACATATGTGCTGTCACTTATTTCATCCATATGTAATTCCTTATGTGTGTCAAAATTAGCAGCGTACGCAAAACTTTTATTTTTGTGTTCAAATCGGCATATGTGTTTTATATAAGACATAACCTATAAACAAAAAAAAAAACACTTATTTTTTCTTAAATCAACATCATTTTCTTTATTAAACACCTACAAACGAAATAAAAATTTGTAATAGTTGCCTTTTGTTTGACTTGCAATTGAAGTATTTTCTTCCAACAATGTGTTTCATTCAAACAGCTGATTTCCTTATGTTTCACATACGAAAATAGAGCGCGTCCTATTCGAAAAAAATACATTTGTAATTGCGTATCGTTTTGACACATTGAAATTTCCGTATGTTTCACATGACGAGCTCGATTTCCATATGTAAATAAAGTGACAGCACATATGTAAAATACATATCGTTTAAAAACACCATTACTGAATATGACATGAGTTATTCTTAACAAAAACTCGCAGTGAACTTTTTCGAACTTTCATTATGAGGAAAAATTAGTTATTCTGGGTTAGGGAAATGGAAGAATGTGATGACATTTTGTGCGAAAAAATCAGCAGGCACCATTAACCTACATTCTATTCTTCCAAATAGGTAGCATGACATAATTATGAATTTGGCATATTTTTATGTTTTCTAAAGCATTAAATTGTTCTCAAGATTTAACTATGGTTGTAACAAGTTATATTTATAGGTTATAGGGGCAGAAAATATTAAAAAATATTAAAAATATTAAAAAATAGAAATATATTAGCAAAATGATCAAAGGTATTTTCATTAAAAATTGGAAAGTTGAATGATGTCAAAACTAAATATATGAAAAATGCCATGTATATAATCAGTAGTTTACACATTGCGACAAGAGTAAATTGAGAGTAGGGCATTTTTAATTGTGTCTCGTGTCGCTATGTATAAACTACTGCTTATAAATCAAATGTATCAAATCAAAAACATATTGTTACGTTCTTGGATTCTACTTAATCCCGTGTAGACGTTGTTTTATTTCCCGATACAATTCGTACCAAATAAAACGCGGGTTCTTTCAGATTACGATTATTACAATGACTTTATTCACACAACTTTACTTTGCACTTTACTTTACACGACGGTTTCAATTCGCGATCTGATTCACAACTGACTCACTGCCTTTCCATTTCCCCTATTTATATGAGCCTTGCTTGTAGCTACAGAAGTTTCTAGACGATCTGGTAACACCTAGATCACGAACAATCTACCAATGCAACAAACACACATACAAACTTACATTGAGTAAACAATAACAACAACACATACAAACTTACATTGAGCAAACAATAACAACAACACATACACACTTACATTGAGTAAACAATAACAACAACACATATACAGGTGAGGGGGTAACAAAGAAAGAGGAATTAAGCGATCATCAATGATGACGTTTAACAAGAATTGTACGTCGACAAAAAAATAGACAATGAAAGAGGAAATGGAAGGATGTAGAAAAATCTATGCAGTAGTTGTTGTTGTGAAGTTATTCGAATAAACTGCGTAGTAGAAATTTACGTTACAATTCAAATTCTTAAATTAACGGAATTCATCTAAAGTAACTTAAATCTAAATTTATATTCGTAACAATATGTTTTTTATCCGATAATCTGTAAAATTGTATCTAGTAATGTTTCTGGATTTCGTTAATCGAGTCGATTTAAAATCGTATATGTACTTTTAAGTTATCAAAACAAAAACCTTTGTTTTTGTCTCAACCATCTGTCAAATTTTTCCTTATAATATTTCACATGGTTGGCAACAATAAACATCGAATACAAGTAGAAATTATCCACTTTGACAGTTAATCGAGACATCAGCTGCGCTAAATGGACAACCTATTTATTGTGTCATGGGACTACCTATTTATTCATAATTTTCTATTGCACATATTAGCTGTGTTCCCAAACCTGCAATATAGTACTATATTGTACTAGTTTTGCAATTTTTGCTAGAAAAGCGTTTCCTTACGTCGAAAAGTAGGAAAAATTGAAGTTAAATTTAAGAGAGTTAAAACCAAAATGGCGTTCTCTTCTCCTATTTTCTGCAAGACCAATTTGGCCTAGCACGAAATAGTAAATGTAGTAAATTGTGAATTTGACATTTGATTGCCAGAGATATACAGTCCGAAATAAAGCATATGAAAGTTAGCGCTTCAACAAAAAGGACACACGCAGAGACGCACACACATTTGCTTGAAAAAAAAAAAACAAATAGGATATTTAAAAATGGACAAACAGATTTTTTATTATCTTTTGAAGGATAGCGAAGATGAATGACTGGCAGAAGAAATGAAATTTATATATCTGTGATCCGAGTGGAGCCCTTAAACTTGACTTGTTCCATATCTTGTTGTTCAAGTTTGCTAAAACATTCCAATCAAAATATCTACCAATTTCAATAGCATTAACATTTTGGGAGCGTAAACAATAAATATTAATATTATCAAAATCACGCAATGGACGCCGTTTAATTTTTTGTTTTTGTTTTTTTGTGCATTATGTTTCTGTAGCCTTTTTTTGTCCTTAACAAATGAAATTTTTGATTTTGACGTTTCTTTATGTATTAAATATTTTTCGTTCCTTTACTTTTTGCGCAAATCTTGTATGTGAGAGTAATTTTGGATATTTCGCTCTTTTACTAGCTTTACTATCAAAAAGTACGGGAACGAACCTATTGTTTTAGATAGTGGTAATAAATGTATTGCCGAACAAGATTTATAACATCCAGAGATTTCGTTCATTTATAATACCGGTTTCATTATTTGTTGAAAATTACAACAATATTTGTGATCAACACCTGTTCGGATACGTATACCTTTCTAATTGTGCCTTGATTGCGTGCAAATTGCTGATGTGCAAACAAGCATGGTATAATAATAGAAGGTAACAGCAAGTGTTGTTGTACAAAAAACGATACAACAATCACATGGAAATTTGTTGTTGTAAGTTCTACTAGTGTCAACTCATTTGACAGAAAAATGTAAACAAACAAACAATCATCAAACTATTTTTATTTTGAAAATGAAATATTTTCAAGTCCTCAAAATAAAAATTGAAAAACATGAATGGAAATCTATCAAATTTATATTTCTATCGCTTCCACATCTTTTCTATAATTGAGCCATTGCCATATATATGTGTAACACATATGAAAATGCTGGGAATAGCGAGTTATTCCTTGAAGAAAGACTTGCTTCCTCAAACTTTCCCAGCAGGCAGATTGAGTAAATTGAATACAGGAGCACATTTAATAAAGAACAATTTCAAATTGTATGCGTTCCCAATTTTCCTGTTAGGGTGATTTTTGGAATCAAATCAGCTGGGATTTGCTGTCACCTTTTATAATTGTACCAAACAAGGTGTAAATACTAAAATACAATCTGTCATAAATTATGGTACCCGGTACATGCCGTTTAAAGGATGGTAACACTAAAAATCTGCATAAAGTACATCGCTGCATAGTACCAGTTTATACATCATTGCATAGGGACGCTGGTAGCAATAAATGAAACGACTTCACACCACGGCTAAAAAACAAGAAGTTTGTCGCGAAATATTGTTTTGCGTACTTGTAAATTTATCTGGAAATACAGAAAACGATTACGAATAGATATATTGCTATTTGACCAAGTCGTCGATTTAAATAACATAAATTGTGGAGTAATTTGCCAAACAAAATATATTGTATATTCGCCGTCATTGCGATACTGCTCGGTTTTGTTCATTTCGCATATATTTTGAATCAGATAGAAGAAGCATACATAAGGTAGGTAAGTATATGTCTGGAGTAGATTTAAACACATATATATATAGATATATTTTTAAAGAAAAAGTTATTAAAATTTTTGGAGTTTTGTGCAAAGACATACATTGGTTTTAGCTACGGTTCTTCGTTGATTATTATGTATTTTTGTGAATTTTAACATCGTCAAACTGACGTTTGCCTGTACTTGTGTGTGTGTGTGAACCTGAAAATGGAGGTTACCACTGCTGCCACTAACGTCATTTTGGCGAAACTGAAAAATATTGTATACAACAACAGCGACGATCAAGAGTCTGCCGGTAAATAATGAAGTAGATCATAACTTTTACTTTTTTTTATTTTTTTAGAAAAAGGCGGCAGAAATCTTTGTGTGTGGACATCGCTGATTAGGAGAACAGACTAGCTCAACACGTGCCCCTTTGATTGGAAGAAGAACGATTTGAACAAAATTATCGCCGACAACTCAAGACGCCGACGAGAACGTTGCTTTTATTACAAAGTAATGGCAATGCTTTCTACGGATGAAGCCAGCAAGCTGCTGGATTTTTCTCAAAAATTGGATATAAATCTACTCGATCGTATTGTCGAGTGTTTGTATACATCGCAGGGAGAGCAGCTTCGCATAGCTCAAGATATCCTTACTACTTTGAAAGAGCATCCCGATGCCTGGACACGTGTTGATAGTATTTTGGAATTCTCGCAGAATCAACAGACAAAGTTCTATGCTTTGCAAATTTTGGAAGAAGTTATAAAGACTCGCTGGAAAATTTTACCCCGCAATCAATGTGAGGGCATTAAAAAGTATGTTGTTGGTCTTATAATCAAAACATCGTCGGACCCCGCCACAATGGAGGCGAATAAAGTCTACTTAAACAAGCTTAATATAATCTTGGTGCAAATTTTGAAGCGAGAATGGCCTCGTAACTGGGAAACATTCATAAGCGATATTGTCGGTGCTTCGAAAACCAATGAATCGTTGTGCAAGAATAATATGGTTATACTAAAAAATTTAAGCGAGGAAGTCTTTGATTTTTCCTCCGGACAAATAACACAAACTAAAGCAAAACATCTTAAGGATACAATGTGTTCCGAATTCGCCCAGATATTTCAACTCTGCTCTTTCGTCCTTGAGAGTTCAATGAATGCGCCGTTGATTCAAGTAACACTAGAGACACTTTTGCGTTTTTTGAACTGGATTCCTCTGGGATATATATTTGAGACATCATTAATCGAAACCTTAATATTCAAGTTCCTCAGTGTGCCCATGTTTCGTAATGTTACACTGAAGTGCCTGTCGGAAATTGCAGGTCTTACCGTTCCAAACTACAACGAAAACTTCGCCACTCTCTTTAGGGATACAATGACACAGCTCGATCAAATGATTAATCAGAATACGAATATGAATCATATTTACGCAAATGGCAGCGATAGTGAGCAAGAGTTTGTCCAAAATCTGGCTATGTTTTTGTGTACATTCCTCAAGGAACATGGCAAACTAGTTGAGGATGTAAAATATGTCGATTATTTGAACCAAGCTCTATTATATTTGGTAATGATTTCCGAAGTCGAAGATGTTGAAGTATTCAAAATATGCCTTGAATATTGGAACAGTCTTGTTGAAGACTTATATACCAGCGAACCTTTTGGAAGTGGGGGATCTAATGTCCATCTGGGCCAATCTGATGTAGTGACATTGGCCAAGCGAAACGCAACATTTCCTCGTCGTAGATTTTATGCTAACATATTATCAAAAGTCCGCTATATAATGATATCACGCATGGCTAAACCGGAAGAAGTCCTCGTTGTAGAGAACGAAAACGGAGAAGTGGTGCGAGAATTTATGAAAGATACCAATGCTATCAACTTATACAAAAATATGCGAGAAACATTGGTGTTTTTGACTCATTTAGATTATGCCGACACTGAACGCATAATGACACTAAAACTTTTAAATCAAGTGAATGGTTCCGAGTTTTCCTGGAAAAACTTGAATACTTTGTGTTGGGCTATCGGATCAATTTCAGGTAATTACATTTTTTATATATATGTATGTCTATAATCTACTACTTTCTTGTTTATATTTAATTCTCGATACATATTCATATAAATTGATCTGTTTTTATATTTGATTTAAATTATATTCTTTCTATTCGTTGAATAGCCATCAGCTAATTTGTTTTTTCTTCACATTATCGAATACTTTGAATATAACATGTCTCATAAAGTAATTTACCTATGAGATACATCCACTCGGCAATGGATATTTATTTTGCATTCACAAAAATCGAAGTTAGAACGTTTTGTATTTAGGACAATTCTTTTCAATTCCGGTTTTCCCGGAGTTACATGATTATATATAGAATTTGCAAATCAAATAAGGTTTAATTCATTAGTCAACATAAAATAGTATTTCTCGTATACATTGACATAATAATCGATATATGCATCGCTTTTAATTAGAATTCGGATTTTGCATATTTGCATATTTTTTAATAATGAAGATATCGAAATTCTGATTGGACACAAATTCGTTTTAAAGGATTTAGAATTATTTGATGGGTTCATATTTTTTAATTTTTTGCATATTTGCATATAATGCATATGCACGAGATATGTAAAAAATATGCATAGTATGCAAGGTCGATATGCGATAAATATGCAAAATATAGACAAAAATAAATTATCTCAACTCAATCATATTTATTATTTTCCATAATGTATCCTTTTTCCATTCTTACCACTTTTATAATACTAAGATACTTATTATTAAAAAATTATGGACATGTGATTATATATATATATATAATCCTGTACTGCCACTTATAAGACTTTTGTCTTGTTGTACAGGAAAAACATTAATTAACTTAATAAATAAATAAATATGCAAAATATGAAAAATATATGCAAAAATATCCAAATTTGCAAAAAATATGCACGGTATGCTATGTCGATAAGCAAAAAATATGCACGGTATGCTATATCGATATGCAACAAATATGCAAAAAATATGCACGGTATGCTAGGTCGATATGCGATAAATATGTAAAATATGCAAAAATATGCAGAATATGCCAAAAATATGCAGAATATCGTGCCATATTCGCCAAAAAAAACGTAACCCTCAAATTTGAAATTTTACAGGAGAATATTTGTTTTAATAAATTCAGATTTAATAAAGCTACTATTTTGCTATTTAGAACTATAGTTTAAAACAAAACCAGTTTATAACAAAACTATAGTTCTAAATTTCAAAATAATAGCTTTATTAAATCTGGATTTATTAAAACAAACCTTCTCCTGTAAAATTTCAAATTTGAGGGTTACGTTTTTTTGGCGAATATGGCTCGATATGCAAAATATGCACGGTATGCTAGGTCGATATGCAAAAAATATGAAAAATATAGGCAAAATATGTCCAAATATGGGCAACATATTTCACATATGCAATCATTTTAATCAAAAAAAAAAAAAAAAAAAAAAAATGATTTTTCATGGTAATATTTTAAATTTTTATACAATAGACCTCGAATTTGTGTTCTTTCTTTAGTTTTTAAGCTATAGAAATCAAAATTTTTATGTATGCGTTTCATGGTTCAACTGTTAGATATTTGTGGCATTTTGAAAAATTTGCTAAATATAGGGGAGAGGGGGGCACCTTTGAACGTGGGGCACCTTTGAACAGCGCTCATAAAATCTTGGTTTAATATTTTTCCGACCCACAACCACATTTTTGTATATGGCAATCTTGTTCTCTATATACGTAAACCACTTTGGCTTGCTTTTTCAGTTGTCGAAAAATTGTGCATGGGTGACCATGTTTTCTCAGTGTCATTGTAAACTTTTATTCATTTGTTTGTAAGGGCGCAGGAAGAATTCTGTGATAGTTTTCTTTCGTCAAACAAGTTTTTTGCATTCCAACAATCATTTCAAACATAACTAATGTAATTTCTTTCATATAAATATATTACAAAAAAAGTTATTTTGAATTTCCGTAAAATTCCATGGGTGGGGCACCTTTGAACATGCCCATTAAACTCGAGTAAAAAAGGAGTTTTTAACTTTTGGCTTCGATTTCTCAAAATTTCAAATGGGCTAATAAGATTACGAAATTAACTGTATTTTTCACCATGTTAATTTTTGTTTTTAAGTCATTTTATGTTTTAATAACTTTTGATCTAAATTTTTAACATTTTTATATATATTTTAATGAATTAATGCATTTCTGATATACAGTGGTGGTCACAGAATTAAAACATTTACTGTGCTAAACATTTTTTGATCGGCCCTCGATTCGTTTGAAGTATTTTTGAAAATTTTTAATTCAGAACACTTCGATATACTGCACTTAAGAGATTTAGTGTGAAAATAGAAAATTTTTGCATGCAATTTTTCCATAAATAACGGTTTTTATGAAAACACATCGACTTTGAAGTGGCCATATAATTAAAACATTGTGTGGGATTTTTTACTTTACTGCATTTTTTGAAAATATTTTTAGAAAATCTCTTTAGTTTAGTTAAATTTTGTGAACTAAGCACCGATAAAATCATTTACAGATAAAAATTGTTGAAAAAATCTGTAAAATCTATTAAAATTGCCAACAATTTGTACAGTACACCTTACGTTCAGAAAATCACCCTAATTATGGAAAATAAAGGTCCGAATGCACCAGAAATTGCTAGAATTAGTAGAAAACATTAAATAATTCTCAAATTAAAGAAATATTTGAAATAAAAACTCAAAAAATTGGAATTAACCTAAAGGAACGATTCAATTTCAATAGCCTTTATTGAAGAAGGCCGGAATATTTTTGCAGTATGTGAGAAAAAATCGATTGATATTGTTATTTATTATATCAAATCGACTGTTCGAGTAGTACAGAATATATTTTATCAAAAAATATATCTGTAAGAACATAAAGAACAGAGATCAACGCCTAGGTTGACGAGTAAAAGTTTCTGGCACACAGTAGCATGTTTGATGGTCAACTCTTGACCCTTAAAATCTATTGAACATGACAATATTTTTCCAAAATAATATTTTTTGAATCGAATAACTTCCACTTAATCTATTTTAATATCAAGGAAGTAAAAATTTTACAGTTTGAAAAATATTTGAAGTCTTGTGTTGAACATGAAAAATGCTGCTGTATGCCAGAAACTTTTACTCGTCAACCTAGGCGTTGATCTCTGTTCGTTCTGTTCTGACAGATATATTTTTTGATAAAATATATTCTGTACTACTCGAACAGTCGATTTGATATAATAAATACCAATATCAATCGATTTTTTCTCACATACTGCAAAAATATTCCGGCCTTCTTCAGTAAAGACTATTGAAATTGAATAGTTTCTTTAGGTTAATTCCATTTTTTTGAGTTTTTATTTCAAATATTTCTTTAATTTGAAAATTATTTATTGTTTTCTACTAATTCTAGCAATTTCTGGTGCATTCGGACCTTTATTTTCTATAATTAGGGTGATTTTCTGCACGTAAGGTGTACTGTACAAATTGTTGGCAATTTTGATAGATTTTACAGATTTTTTCAACAATTTTTTTCTGTAAATGATTTTATCGGTGCTGGGTTCACAAAATTTAACTAAATTAAAGAGATTTTCTAAAAATATTTTCAAAAAATGCAGTAAAGTAAAAAATCCCACACAATGTTTTAATTATATGGCCACTTCAAAGTCGATGTATTTTCATAAAAACCGTTATTTATGGAAAAATTGCATGCAAAAATTTTCTATTTTCACACTAAATCTCTTAAGTGCAGTAAATCGAAGTGTTCTGAAATAAAAAATTTTCAAAAATACTTCAAACGAATCGAGGGCTGATCAATATATGTTTACCACAGTAAATGTTTTAATTCTGTGACCACCACTGTATATGAATACAATACATATATATTTGAACATAAACACTGTAAAAAACCATGTCGTTCAAAAATGTCAACCCCTGTTCAAAGCTGCCCCCCTGGGGGGCAGTTTTGAACACTTTGAGTTCGTCCATTAAAACAGTAATAAAATATATTTATCAAGCTTATAGTATGTCATATGTATATTCATTTTAAAGGTTACATATGTACCTATTAGTTAAAATTTATAAGAAACAAAAAATTATAAAATAAAAAAAATTATAAGGCTTGAAAGCAAAAAGTGTTCAAAGGTGCCCCCCTCTCCCCTATGTATAAAACATGCAAATATATATGAACCGTTATATGGGGATATACTAAAATATGGACCGATATATCCCATTTCCAATACCAAACATTCCAGGATAATAATTATATATGTGCAAAATTTCAAAGTTCTATCTTTAATATTGCGACCTAGCATACCGTGCATATTTAGCATATTTTTGGCTTATTTTTGCATATTCTGCATATTTTTGCATATTTTGCATATTTTTGCCTATATTTAGCATATTTTGCATATTTTTGCATATTCTGCATATTTTTGTAAATTTTGCATATTCTCCACATTTATTGCATATCGACCTAGCATACCGTGCATATTTATTGCATATCGATCTAGCATACCGTGCATATTTTTTGCAAATTTGGATATTTTTGCATATTTGTTTAAAATAAATTTTAAAGTAAATTTTGCATATTCTGCACATTTTTGCCTATATTTTGCATATTTATCGCATATATCGACCTAGCATACCGTGCATATTTTTTGGATATATTTTGCATATTTTTAACATGACTCCAAATATCGACCAATTGGAGCATGAAACGCCTAAATACAAAATTTGAGCCCAATCGGATAATGGAAATTTTTTTTGCCTTCACAAAAATCGAAGTTAGAACGTTTTGTATTTAGGACAATTCTTTTCAACTCGGTTTTCCCGGAGTTGCATGATTATATATAGAATTTGCAAATCAAATAAAGTTGAATTCATTAGTCAAAATAAAATAGTATTTTTCGTATACATTGACATAATAATCGATATATGCATCGCTTATAATTAAACCAGTGGGTTTTTGTTGTCAAAGTACTAAGAACACACATTTGTA